ATCACTTCTACAGTTAGAACAACTTGCCCTGAGCAGGTGCATTGCTATTACCTGTTAATAAACATGTGCTCCGTGGAGGCACAAGGAAGAATCACACAAGTTTTTAAAAATTCTTCAGCAAGAAGGAAGTATCTGAGACAAACTGGCGAACCCTTTACACTGAACCCTTTACCAAAAACACCCCCAGACATCACTGGCAGGCCCAGCATCTTCCAGCAAACTGCTCCTGTTCCAAACATGATCAAGTGCATCACAATCCAGCCCTGTATCCCCAAACTGCATGAGCCTGTTTCCCTTCTGCCGTTTCAAACGGCGCATTGACGACCCGAGAGCATCTGACTTCTCCAGACGTGCCGGCAGCGCTGTGAGTAATGATCGCATTTGTTTCTTGCTCTTCAGCGCAGATGGCGGAGAGCATTCCTTCGACTGTGCTTAAAAGCTGGGTGAATGACAGTTATTGTGACACTAATAAAGTGAGGGCTGTTTGCTGAACAGCTGTTGGCTACATTGTTCTTTTTGTGAGAAAAATGCGGCCGTTATACTCCAGGAATGCGTGCGCCGCGCGGGCTGCGAGTTGCATCACGCCTCGGAGCGGCGCAGAGCTGGTTTCGCCATACAGCACCCGGCGAATGGCAGACGTGTTAGCCTTATTTCACCATTAGGACTTAATCCTCAGATCAGCCTGATCGGTGCTCAAAGGAGGCGTGAGGAATGGTAAAACACTTATTGCGCCGCTCGCAAGGAAATGGGTTTAGCGCCGGGCCTGGGTTTCATTTGCTATTGACTTGCACGCAGCTGAGCACAGCAGAAAAGAAACACTAGACCAGGAAGAAAGGGACGCTGTCACCTAGCCATAGAGCAGGGAAAGCCATTTTAGGGCCAGTTTGGCTACGTTCCTCTATTTTCTACTTATTCTGTTAAACAGCAACAGGTTTGATTGTAAATTTTAGGAGGGAAATAGCATGTGGTTTATTGTTTCAGTGGTGGAGTTATAAACACATATTACTGCTCAGGACCCCAGCTGCCTGGGCAGAAGAATTCTGTAAATCTTTTGTTCTTATTAACTTTAAAAATCAGGTGCAAGGGGCTCCAAACAAGCTGGAAACGTACTAAGCAGCCCTGGCACAACAAGCCCTAGGGTATGTCTTAAAAGAGCCTCTGCAGTGACAATCACAAGGCAGCCTGAGGCCACCCTCCCACCCAGACATCTTCACATCCTTCAGTGCAAGCCAGGCCACCCAAGGGGCCCCAGGACTAGAACGTCCTGGAGGGGAGAACCAAGGACCAAGCGAATGAGCCCATCACACCCAGCACCTTCGGGTAGGTCTAGAGTCTACCAGCAAGTTTCCCAAGCTCTGTTCATTTCCAACATGGGGGCTTGGGCCTAAGTTCAGTAACGGTTTTCTCTCTGGAGAAAGCATGGAGAGAAACCAGCTTAGGAACAAACGCAGAGACCTCCTGCTCTGACCCAACCACCCTTCTGTCACCACCCCGCGTCACGGAGGAACAGCTGGGCCCGGCCCGTGTCCCTGGCTGCGACGCCCTGATGGCCTCGCAGGGAGGCACCGTGTCTGCACGTTCAGGTGCTTCTCTCAGAGGAACCCTGTGCTTCTCCAGGGCCTTTCGCTGCTACCCCAAGCCAGCTGAGCCACCATACAGTCTCTCACGAGATCTGCCCATGCATCTCAGGGGTCTCTCTCCAACTACTGACTCTGAAGGTGCAACCAAGTACATCTCTCCGTAAAAGCACCTGCTAACCTCAAAGATTTTGAGTTTTGAGCAAACTCATGCCTAAAAACAATGAAAAAGAACTGTGTAGGTGCACAGCAACTGCAGAAAGTCTAAGATCTTTGGGTTTTACCCATCACTGAGAATAAGAGGGCAATTCTGTCTTCATTCAGTGCCAGCTGAGCCAGGTCTTCACCTTCAGTGCATTCAGTCCAAGATTTGTATCCTGCCTTCCAGGAGGGAGGCCAGCCGAGCAGCCCGGTCTGTGACAGCCCTCCCGGAGAGGCTGCATGTGCAAGAGCAGCATTCCTTGGCACACGGTCGGCAGGGTGAAGTCAGCATGACCCTGACATTACATATTCTCAGCAGTGCGCAAGTGTCTCATCTCAGAATTGGACGTGTCTAATGGAAAAGACAAAAGGTTCCCACTATACTAGGTTTGTTTTTCCCTTTTTAAAGAAATAAAACCACCTTATTTTCCAATTATACTTATTTGAGATCTACGTCCTCCTGCCCTATTTGCTTCTTCCCTCCACACTGACTATCAGAGCCTTCTACAGACATATAATACATTGGGTCTGCAAAGAGAGCATTCTCCATTTATGGCTATTTTGGAGTAACTTAATGGCTCTGAAACAGCAGCCAACAGAAAAAATATAAAACTCAAGAGGTCTGAGCCCTGTTTCACCTAAGAGAAGGGCTCATCTTATACAAATCGTTGTGGTTACAAGCACACAGATTTCCAGCTGATTATTTACACTTAACAGTATGAAGACAACACTTTTGAAGAGATGTTGCTGCACTCAAACTAGTCAGTGAGTTCTTGCTCCTCATTTTTCAAAACCCCTACTTTGGGTTTTGAAAACCAAAGGAGTTTGAAAACCCCTAATTTGTTAAACAAACTGATGTCCCACCTTTCACCAAAATCTGCAAACCAGATATTTAATTTTTCTTCCTTCTCAGAAAGGTCTAAAACATACATATATAACATACATAAGAGTTTATTTTTATTAAAATCACCAGCATTTCAATGCTGTTACTTTTTAAGTCGTTGTGATCTAAGAAAAGAGTCACTTCTTGTTAATCACTGAAATACCTGCTTTACCAGCACCCACAGTTTAAGGGATCTTGTAGTTCAGTGATCTCTCCTTTTTCTAACTCACCAGTGTTCAAAGCACCAGTGAGAAGCCCCTGCATGACTCGTACCGCTAGTGATGCTACCAGCCACGTTCTCCCACGATGGGAGATTTTTCATCCTTTTTCATCCTTTTGTTATAATGTCAGGGTAAGACAGTAAGAGCTAGGAGGTTTCTAAGAGCTTAATTCAGCTAAATAAAATGCATCCCACTTTCCTGGCCTGGCTTTGATGTGACAAACTCTGAGCTCTCTCCATGCGCTGAACTGAAGCAATATTGATTTTTGAAGATTTCTACTCTCAGTTCCATATGCAGCAGAATATATTGCAACCGGTCTGTGGAATAAACTTAGCCAATTTGGATTTTTTCACATCTGCACTGACCTCTTTAGATTAAACATGATGTCTCATGCTAGTGACTCACACCCTTAGCAAGCTAAACTCAAACTGCCTTCCTTAAGCCTCTACTTCAAACAATACATCTCACTGCCACGGCCACGGGAACGTTAGTCATAGCAACTTTACATTCTGAAAACAACTTCACAACATTATTTCATGCACTTCTGGAGAGAACACTGCACTTTTTCCCCTTTCACTTGTGCCACCTCGTGCTTCCAGCGCAGGCGCAGCGCTAACACCGAGCGCTCCCGCCAGCAGCGTTTCCAGAAGGCCGATCCCTGGCGCTGGCAGGGAAGCAGATTCCCAATAAGGCAGCCGAAGCTGCCCCGTTATGGGACAATACCCAGATATCACAGCAGGCTGAGCTCGCCAAGGACCTACAGGACCTAGCCAGGCTCGTGTCCGTATTCCACGCTCCTCCTGCCTTCACATTTGAGGGGACAGTTTTTTGGGAGAGCCTTTGCTTTCCATAAACACCAGTGGAGGGCATTGCCCTGGACTCCCACTGAAGTCGCTGGATGCTAAAGCTCAGAGCGTGGGCTCATCCCCCAAGAATGGGGAGACGTGGCCTGAGAAGAGCAGGGCCAGGCAGCTCTGGGGAACTTGCTACCCTCCAACACAAGCCCCAGGGCGATCACAAAACCACCCTCCCGAAGAGCAGCACAAGGTAAGCTGGTCCGTCAGCAGTACCTGTCCTTCCCCGGTGGGTCCTGGTGGAGAGAATCTGCAGGGGTGCTGGAAAGCTGGAAGTATGAGGAAGGAATGAAGCAAAGCCCGTGGCCTCTCAGGGCCAAAGTGCAAAGACCCAGCAACAGCACAGAGCACATGCTGCAGGGCAGCTGGCAGTGAAGGACAAAGTTAACGACTGGCAGCTGTTGGGCATTTGTGGGCAACGAGCCAGAAGGCTCCACCAAGTTCAAGGGAGAAAGCTTCCATGTCACCACAACCATGGCACAGCTTCCACTCTCTGGAAAGCACCACCCTGGATCTGCTCCTCTGGGGAGAGGAGCCCTTGGCTGAGCCTACCCAGGGAGCCGCTATTGCTGCTCCTGCCTCCACCTTCCATCTTGTGAGCAAACAGCCCAGAAAACTCTGCCCTTCCTTTATCCCTTTGCAGCGGGTAACCGGCACCACCATTTAAAGGGAAAAGGGAGGGACTGAGAAATTCCACAACTCCCAACCCAGCCCCTGCCGCTGCATCCCTCGGAGACTGCTCCGTTCAATAGCACCGACTGACACCTTTAAAGGACCTTTCAAACCAGGCATGCAAAGTCCATCAAAATAGGTTGTCAGTGATATACGAAGAGCCTCTCCCTGTCTAAAAAAAAACAGGCTTAGTTTTCTTTCCACCAGTCACAATTCCTGTTACCTTTAAATGCAAAAAACAAAAAACAAAAAACAAAAAAACACCACCACCAACAAAAAACCCACTAAAGTAATATCATGTAATTCAAATGGCTCCCACTCTGCTTCAATCAATAAAATTAGTTAGAGCAGCAAATAAGATTTCTGGCAGGTTGGGGAGTCAAATTTAGCCTGCATGCCACATGTCAAGGTTTAGATGATTCCTGTTATTTTTCCTAATATTCATGCAAAAGACTTCCACATGCACAGGCAGCCTGGGACACACTTGTGGATTCTGCACTGTGTCCTGCAATGTGATAACCAAGCTAGGTAAAATACCCCAGAAAGGCTTTGTGGGACACATAACCCGTTACTATCATTAAAGATAACTTACCTTTAAGGATTCCCAAATCGGAAATTGTACCAGAGAGAAAGGAATCTGGAGAGAGGGTAGGAAAAAAAAGAGAAAAAAAATGTTACCAAAGCAAATGAGGTTGTCATGTTTCTTGACTGGCTAAATTAGGAACAGTTATTGCTCGGTAGTGAACTGCAGCTTATTACATTTACAAATCTTTAAGGACACTTTATGGAAGCTGCCATTAAATGATTGGTTTCACTAAAGCAATTTTACTTTGTTTATCACATTCCCTGCTGAGAGGTTAATGTATCGTTACCAGGGTGGCCTAGAGGAGCAATAAGCAGCATGATCTAGTGCAGGGACGTTCTTGCCTTGACTCCCCGCCAGGAGCCATCAGGATGGTTCAAGCAACACATTCCCAGGGCCAGGAAGAACCATCTTCAGCAACACGCACTCTCACGAGTGATGGGCCTAAAAGTCACTTCTGCTCTGAGCAGGGCTTTGCAAATGGGGCCTCGGCAACAGAGGGAAGGTTATTCGGACATCTCCCAGTGATCTCAGATTAACAAGATCCCTTGAGAAATAAAAGTAGGTTAAAAGCTACCAAGCCCAACCAAAACCCTCAGGAGAAGCTCTGTGGTTCTCCTCACTCATCACCTATAACGAGAGGTGGTTCTGTCCAACGCCAGCCCACACCCCCAGTGAGGCTCACGAGTCCTGCCATGCCCAGCAGCGTCTGTGCATCTGCAGCTCCTTCAGTGCCCTTGCCCTGAGAGAGGCCTCATGACCAACCCTCCTGACACGCGGGAGCAAAGCAAACCCTTCTCCAGCTCTGCAGGCAGCGCAGGGCTAACGTGTAATTAGTCAGTCAGTCACGGTTGAACATGAAGAAAAGGATGAGACAGGGGGACAGCAAGAAGCCATTACTGTTCACGGCTTTGCCTTTTTTTGGAGGTCCCTCCTCCTCCAGTCTCACTCCTAAGTTCTTCTGCCTCTTCCTACTCCTTCCTGCTCCAACAAGGTCTGCCCAAAATCCATCTCTGGTGCTTACCCTCCTTCCAGATCTCCAGCCCTGGTCTCTTCTCAGGGCATGGCACAGAAAGGTGTCCCACGGCAATACCATCCAGAACTGTAACTACATTTGTCTCTTTTTGGCCCCTTGCTAAAAATACTTTTCCCCCACTTCAACAGCCAGTCAGCTCTGATTTTAAACCTCCTTCCAAGTATCTGTTTTCTTCTCTTATCTTCACATCCTCAAACTCGATGCATGTTGGGCCAGATTTTCATTTCTTTGCATTGATTTTGTTGCTTAGTTTTAGAAAGCATAGAGGCACCTTTTGTCCTGAGAACCAGCAGACAATCCAAATGAATCACACTTTGTTAATGCATAAATCTTAAGTCTTCATAACACATGTAATGAAAGATTAAAAATATTCAGTATAAAGGTATGAGCAGGTTTGTAAATCTAAATTCAGGCTATACCAAGGAACTTGGAAATGGTGCCTCTATCCAGCATCACAAGAGTTAAAGGGTATTGTCTGCTTCACTGTGTTGCAACTAATGATTAATAAATGAGTCTATTAAGTTAATCTGTCAGGCAAAACTAAGCGTGACAGACACCTGCCATGGAAAATTTGTTATCTATTCGGGCAGGAAATGGCAGTGAGAAGAAATCAATGTCACTGCTGTACATGGAGCTGACAAACTGAAATCTCAGAGGAAGTTTGTCATCTTGAACAGTATCCCTGGTGGCATCTCAAGCCCCACAATAAAGGTCAAATATGGCTCTTATTTATCAGGGCCTTGAAACTCTAGTGTTGCAATTAAATTTTGTTTTCAATACTGGGTGAAAAAGTCCAGCTATTTGACAGTAATGTGTGGTAATATATTTACGAGAAGATATATATATATCCACATGCTGCTGCATCATTGTTGAACTGGAGTTAAATGGCATGATTTCTTTGCAATATAAAATGAAAGCAACATAATATTCTATTATCTAGGCCAAAAAAGAGGGGGGAAATGAAACAATACCTGCTACATTTGCTTCAAATTTGTTAAAAAGAAAAAAGGAAATGCTCTCTATCCAGCTGTATACCAAATAAAACAAGCTTTCAAGTACACAGTCTCCAAGTGTTGCCCTTCTGTACTTGTGAATGAGGTCCAAGACTATGCAGCTGCTAATAAGGTAACAAGGGGAGCATTTGACACAAACCCCTGGTCATCTCCATTGCTAACTAGCAGCACTCAGTCAAAGAGGAAACTTGTTCACACTGCTCTTTGCTTTTCAGCCCTCGTGGTGCTCGCTTTCCGAAGCCTGCTGAGCAGGAGTCACAGGGTTGGAGGGATGTTATCACTCCCACTTCCCCGGGAGGCCCAGAAGATGCTGCAATGCAGGACCTACCAAAAGCCCTGGCAAGGGTTAGGATGCAGGTCAGTGGGATCTAGGCAGCCACACGTCTCCATCCCCCTGCGGTGTCTGGGACAGGGACCTCAGTTTTCAAGCAAACAATGAAGCACCTTCACTTGCATCCAGAAGTTCCTAACAAGAAATGTTCTCCTAAAATCAAAGCCTCCATCTCAGCCTGCTTGAAAACACCTTGATTTTAAAGAACCACCCATAAAGCAGTCTCATGGGCAGGGGAGCTAAAGGCAGCCCAGCTTCTCATTAGTTTCCCTTTTTTCATCAGATTATTCACAGCCCAAAAATTGCAAGTCCAGCTCAGCACTCTTCGCAAGCCCAGGATCTTCATCACAGCTTCCTGCGACACCAGTCCCACAGCCCTTGTTAAAAGGTAGGTTCACCTTGCAGAGAAGCCCTCAAATCCCCCCAAATTACTTCTACGGTTCCCCCATGCACTGATTTTCAAGAAGCCTCCGGGAGTTTCTGTTTCCCTTGCAACCTCTGCATTGCTGCCACGTTTCTGTGGCCAGCAGGAGCAGAGGGGAGCGGGCAGGAAGAAGCGGCCGGGCCGCACGCTGCTGTGTGCTCATGTGCACACACCCTGCTTGCACGAGCCTGGCCTCCCCCCGAACCCAGACTGAACAGCCTGTGCCCAAAGCAGGGTTAACACATGCAAAAAGTAGCACCTCTGCAAGCCTAAGTCATGCCACAATGAAGACGACTGCGGATGCCACGTGAGCCTTCTGTCCTCTGCCACGACGGATGGGACAAAACTCGCTCAGTTTGGGGACGTTTCGCCATTTGCAGCATTCGCCATCTGAGTCCATGTAGCATTTTGCTTTCCTAAAGGAAAAGCTCTTCAGCAATGAGCAGAATTGCACCCTGCCAGGCAGCAATATTTATGCCTGAAATAGGCTAAGGCAACAACGAAAAATGTGCTCCACACATGTAGGAAACTCTCTGCCAGCAAATATGAAACCCTGGCGAGCTCCACCAACCTCTCATTTGACATTCATATAAAATAGACAGAGGGTACCAGTTCTCATGTCTGGCCTGATGTTATATAACTGTGCTATTTGTTCGGCACAGTCAAACCTTGCACTAAAAATGAAGAAAAAAAAAAGTGTAAAGCTCCCAGGCAGCTGTAAATCATTATTCTAAAATCTTTTATAGGTTAGTGAAATTGTCAGTTACTCTGGCCCCTGCTTTCTTTAGCACCTGATACCTAACTTAATGTAGCAAATGTTGCAGGTTCTTTTTATTCTTACAAATCTCCTTAATTCTCTTCATACAGAAGGATTTTTAAATCCCTAAAATCATTTTTTTATAAGCGAGTTTTAGAAACAGTTGCCCTTCACAGTCAGCCAAACAGAAGAACAAATCTGCAGTTCTCCAAAAAATACCAGCTTGCCCTTACTGGAGATTTATCTGAGAACAAAGTCTCACCAAATACCGCTTGAATAAACAAGAAAAAAATAAGAGGGAATTTAAAAGTTGTGCCATAGAATTGCATTAATACCAAAAACATAGAGAGTGCTAACGCTCCTTATAATTGTAACACAACATTTTGAAGCAATTCCCTCATTCAATATGTGATGCTAAATTGCAAGCTGACATCTTCCAGAAGGAAACTCTGCAGCCAGACAGCAGGGAGGGGAGATGCTGAAGGAGTCACAAAGAAGAGAAGAGGGACTGGGGGGAGGAGAGCGGGAAGGGAAAAAACAACAACAGAAAAAACTCATCAGTCCCTTCAAAACTGGGATTCCCTTCAAAATATGAGGATTCTTTCACATAAAGAGGAAACAGATGTTCATGGCTGGGATTTGCATGTGGCTTTATTCTCTTCTAGCATACAATAAAACTACTCTTCTTCTCATCCTTCGAGCTAGAAATTAAACAGTGGCATGTCATGCAGAGTCCAGCTGGGCTTTCTACCTCCAACCTTTATTAGCAATATATTTAAAAGGAAGACAAAAGCAGAGAGACAAAAAGAAACGGAGAAACTAGAAAAGCCTAAGAATTGAAAAGCTATGTGGTATGTGCTCTCACAACAATATAAAATCTACAGATGTTCTTACTAATCTGCGGCACATGTTTGTTTATTCAGGTTTTCCCTGTCTCCAGTTCAGTGGGGCTGCATTCTCCAAATGAGATTTCTGTTTTTGCAAATGTTAGAGCAGATACCGAAGGAGAGGGCAGCTAAACAGCCAAAGGCTCACCCAGAAAGTGCTTTTTTAATGTCCCTGAACTGTACCTCCATCTCAAAACTATTCTCCCCGCTGTTCCCTATATCATTAACAACGGGGGAAATGTTGATGGTTACAAAGATGATTTTGGTAGCTCTCATGTCACCCAGGCTAATGGCAAGAACCCCCGGCAGCCTCAGGAGAACTTGCTGCAGTTAGCACTGAATTTCCTGAAATTGCATGTAATCTGTCACGAGCAAGCACTTGCATGGGGTCACAAGTAGAGGCTTCCCCAGGGCCAGCATCTCTGCACGGAGCATGCCACGACCGCCAGCCCAACCGCAGGTGCAACGGAGCCTTCTCCATCGTAATTACAGAAGAGAGTCAAGTAACCCACAACAGGGCATCAAAAATAGGTCATTTTCCAAGCATACATAAATCTACAAATTTCAAAAGACCAATCTTTCATTTATTTGGGGGGATCTTTGTGT